GTAGTAACAAGAAGCTACTAGGAACAAGTGCATCGCTACTAGTAACAGGTGCCTCGCTACTAGTAACAGGTGCCTTGCTACTAGTAACAAGTTACATTTTGAGACGGTTCTTTGGCACTGAGGAAAGACAAAGTGCAGTATACTTGCTTGCAGCCGCTCGTATACACTACGGCTCTCCAATGGTTTACGTGTGTGCGGCCTAAAGCCTTCTCTTTGTCAGTCAATGCCAGAGCTCGCGGAATCCACATGGAGAGCAATACATCCTTCGATGAATTTCTGCGTCGTGTTGGCTCTGGAGCATACTTTCTAGGCACACTAGGAACAAGTGCCTTACTAGTAGTAACAAGTGCCTTACTAGTAGTAACAAGGACGCTAGTAGTAACAGAGAAGCTACTATATAGGTCCTAGGTTTCTAGGCACGCTCCAACCATTTTTTCAGAATGTGTTTTCATCCGATTTCAACGGTTGAATGGCAAGTTGCACAACTGGTCGAGTTCAATTCGTATGCAGGTGAAATTGCAGAGAAAGCTATGGCAGCAACTAGCTACGAAGAAGCACTGGCTCTTCTGGTCTCCTTGCCAGTTGTCTCATCCAACTATTTTATTCTCGCTGGAACTCATGGTCAAGGACACAAGTTTGAAGAGAACTCAAATCAAAAGTCAGCTGGTAGGCTAGACAAAGTCAGAAGTGCAAACAGGGGAATCTACTACATAATGGGATGTTCAGGTTTTTGTTTGGTTTGCTTTCGTCACGCTTAGATTCACATCTTGACATATGGTCTCTGCATGCGCAAGCGAGTGCGTGGCAGTTGGACCTTTTAAGTTCCTGATGTAGTCAGCATTGCCTGGTAGTCGGTTGGAGCTGCATGCTCCTCGATGTGCCACTCATGACTCAATCCATGGAGAAATGCATTTCTTCATTGGGACCAACGAAACCAAATAGCGATGGCCTCCAACCCACAGTAACAGTTGTTTTCTTCTGTATGTTCTTCTCCCAAGAGCTGTGGAAGGAGCTATCATCACCCGCTTCGGAAATTCCTCTGCAGCTGACGTGTGGAGCTTGAAGTCTTCAACTTCGACATCAGATGGGCAACCGCCATGGCTCAGAGTGCAGACCAACGTGGACCACTGGGTGCGACTGAAACAAACAATATCAAGGAAAACCGAAACAGACGAAGAAGAACATTGTTCTTGAGTGTAGCACGAACCGGATTTTACAGGACTAGAAACGCGCAACCGACGTAGATGCCGTTTCTGCGGAGCAACTGTCTGATTTGGTAGAATCAGGATTGCACTTTTTGTTTTCGCAGCTGACAAGAAGCTACTTTGGACTAGAAGTGCAACGAACACTTCAATAGATTTGGTTTTCTAGGAGGCCATTGCTATTTGATTGGACTTCATAGATTTAGATTTTCATTTTGAGAATCCAATGTCTTTTATGGGCTTTGGACCTTTTTTCCCTTCCTTTCTAGTTCCGGTTCTTGGGGCTCTTCGTCTCATCCAGGTCCCTTTTGGCGAGACCTATGCCACCCACCGGCGGCAGCACTTGGTAGAGATGTTGACAGCAGAGAAGAGAAGAGCACCTGCAAGCAGAGAAGACTTCATGAAAGCATACTTTGTGTCCAACGCGATGAAGGGATCAGAGAATCGCACTTCTCCAGAAGATACTGGGGCCATCTTAAGGCCGACCACGATCGCTACAGTCTTCTTGGATCCCAGTGAAGAAGAACCGAACATAAGCCGATGGTTTCTGTGGAATGCTACTCCGAAGGTGTTGCCTCCGCAGTCGCCCAATTCAGTCGGATTGCTCGTTTAGAAGCCGCACCAACTTGTAAATTCCCTAGTAGCGTCCTTGCTCCTAGTAGCTTTTAAACAGGTTAAGCACTTTGTGTGCTTTTCGGCCCTGCCTTTCCATTTGCTGGAAGACCCAATGGCAGACTTTGCGCCGGTCCGGTGCAGTTGCCGTCGGACGCAAACGCAACATGGAATCAGCAAAAGATGCGTGGAAGTCAAAGCTGACACATTTGACATGAACAATCGATTGTGGAAAGGAACAGAAAGAACATGGAAAGAAAGACGGTGGGAAGAAGGGTCAATTCATGATCTACTTAGGTCCGCGACACGAAATGCCGTCAACGCGGCAGCCATGAGAGGCTGGACACCGCTGGCCTTACTACTAGGAGCATTCTTACTACTAGGAACAAGAAGCTTTAGCCACGTGACCAGCCACGACGTGGCAAGATGTGGCACCAGGCAAGACAGGAGAGATCTACAGAGTTTGCCATCAGATTGGTCGAAAGGTCGATGACTCAGACCCAATCTACGCCAACACTTTGGACGGTTTAGCAAAAGTGCAAAAGTCCCATTTGGCTTCATTCAAAGTAAAGGGCTTTGTTCTAGTATCTAAGGATCTTGACTATTATCATGATGATGACCCCCGACTTGTGCAGAAGTCATAAGCTCAGCGTTGCCAGTTTAACTTTGTATTTTGGATGGCATAAACGATATAACCGACAAATCCCTATTGGCCTTTTCGTATTGGCCTGTTTGCGAGATGGATCGCAGTACTTGTCAAGCTCCATCGCCTATAGAGACGTGTGTTGCAAGGCATGGGCTACAGCTATTTTCGGCACAGCACAGATGCTTAGCACGTCATGCTTAGCATGTGGAGACCTCACGGTGACCGACTTGACCACCTGCCAAGACTTGACTCGGAGCGATCGGAGGCTACTAGGAGCAAAGGGCATCGCTACTAGGAGCAAGAACGCTACTAGGGGCTCCTGGCATCACTACTAGGAGCAAAGGACGCTACTAGGAACAAGTGCCACGCTAGTAGTAACAGGTGCCTTACTAG